ATAGGTTGCAACTCTAATATTTCTATTCTTGAGGGACCAATATTTCAAACGGTTTAATCACGTGTGAGTTGCAAGACTAAAAAAGGACAATTTTTTACAAATCTGTTTAGTTCGTTAATTCGAGTTTTTAATTCGAGTTGAAATGTGACTTTATGTGAAAGTTTTTTACTGTAACAAAAAAATTAGACTGTTTCTGAGAGCTTTTTATTATAACAAAACTCGAATCAAATGAACAAAATCTACATGTTTTAATCACGCGTGAACACCCAAACAAAAACCATGATTAATAAAATCGTTAAAAAACTAACACTTTTTAAAGTAAGTAGCAAAGTTGCAACTTTCAACAAGTTTGGGAAGGAACTTTATGTGATTTTATAGTTGTAAAAAGCAAGGTGAGGCAAATCTTATTCTTCAGGGACCAAAATTAAAATCAACCCTTTTAACGGACACCAATAAAAATAGGACATAATCCAGATCCTAAATGCAAGCTATAGTTTACTGAAGAAATGTGGATCTCTCCAACAAAATATTTTACATTCACCTAAGCTACTGCAATGAGCATGTTATCCGAATCAGATATCTCAAATATTCACATTTTGCAATGAGGAGGTTATCCAAATTCAGAAATATGTAAATTTAGTTCACATGCAGCTCATATATGAGGAACAAACAATCCACAATAAGTAAAAAGGCAAAAAGATCAGTTCTTTCTTCTAAAGAAGTACATCACTATTGTCTTCAGAACTAGTAATAACCCATTGTTCAACCATAAAGGCAGTGATCCAGAAGCATATTCAAACTACTCCAACCTATCATACAAAGCAACCAAATGAAGTCCCTCGCAACGCCGTAAACTCCCCTCCCTCAGCTGCCCTCGCTTTTATCCAGAGCTACACCAGAAAGCAAAAGCATCATAAATACGGTCAAATCAAATCAACTTTTCGAAGAGTCTTATCCATAAGGTATCAACAAAGAAAACTATTGATCCCCAAGCCCAAAACGTAAAAAGTAAAATAAACAACTTTTGCAAGTAGAAGGACAGAGGTACAAAGAGACGACTCACTGTTGTAGTTCAGAAGCTTCTCAATGAGATCAACATGGGTCATGAGCATTCTTCGACAGCAATAACGAACCAAACCCAATGCATCAAGAGCATCTCTGCACGCCAATCAATCAGAAGTCACCACGGGAACTTAATAATGTCTTATATAAGGAAAATCTTGAGATCTTAACCGCAAGGTACGAACAACACCCTACATGTTATGAACCATCAGATCTGTACAAGTATTGTTAGTTTTGCATAGTCTTCCATTTTGATATGATTTCGACCAAATCTAATGTTCAGAAACATGCAATTAC